AGGAGGGATGAGGAAAGCCATGGTGACAATGAGAAGCTGCACCCAGGAACAGCCCACCGACCCAGTAGCAACACAGGGGGGGGGAGCCAAACATCGGATACAGTCAACGCGCATGGTAAGGGCGAGCGCCTTTTCCTAGGGTACCCTTGGGCCCCTTGCGTCTTCACCGCGCGCCCTTACCGCGCGGTAAGGGCACGCGTCCCAAATGCCCCAACTTCGGCCTCCAAGGGTCTTGCGTCCTTACCGCGCGTCCTTATGATACGTTTTGACTGTGCGCTACGCCGCCCTCGGCAGACGGGGGGGGCTGAGCGGAATTATGAACTTGGCCATGCGCAGCCTGTCGCCGTTCTCACCGCCATCCCTTTCCGTAGCCTCGGGCTCAAACCATTTTTACTGAGGTATATCGCCCTGCTGCTCGCGGCCTTGACTAGGCCGAGGATCATACTCCACAGCGACGGTATGGGGAAGACTTGTGGCACGAAACCGAAGAGGCGCACCATCAAACCGGTTTCGTACTGGCGGGGCGCGCTCAAGAAAACAACCAGCACACCGATTGATTTGCAACGCGCCCAAAACAATTATGAACACTGGCGCCGAGCATTCCGAGGCAACGAGGGCTTGATTACATACGTTGTGGCTTTGAAGTTGCCGACTCCAAGAGATCTGTTCGTACGCTTCTGGGAAACAGCAAGGCAGGAGACGACGTGGTGAAATTCTGGAAAGCAAATCGGCCCATGGCGCTGGCGCTCCCAGGACTGGATATTAAGCAAGAGATTCGGTCCATCGGAGGCCCGTTCGAAGTGCACGGGCACCTCGTGAACTTGCAGCTTGTTCACGTTCTGCGCGCCTTGGGCAAGAAGAAGAAGCCGTGGGATTCCAGCGCAACCGCCCTGACTCTTGGCATGGCCGGAGAACGGTACGAGATGTTGAAGTACGACGAGTCCAGCGTGCGTTCCTGTTACGACTCGTTCTCAGGCATGAGGGACACGCTGGTGTATTGCTACCAGCACCCTCCGTCAACGTTCCCTCAGTACAAAGAGCTAGAAGAGAAAATAGTGACATGCTTCAACGAGAACCGAACTCCCAAGTTGCAGACCCATCGGACATCTAAGGGCGATGACCCTTATAATGGGCATTGGAACGCCCGCGTGCACTTGTGGGCGCTCAAGCCAGAGTCGCTGCGGCGAAACGCGTCGGTGACGTTCAGCATGCTCCCGCTCCCAGATATGGGCAAGCTCCTCGATCAGCTGCATGCCAGCGTCGGCACGGACAATGTTCGGGAGGCGTGTGAAAAACTGTCGTATTCTGGTAATTGGGAAGAAATTATAATGAGACTGTGTCTCGGCACGGGCAAGCAATGCCAGGCCGTGGACGAGGGCCCCGCCGACGACGAGCCTGACGGGACACCGATGGCGCCCCGTGCTGCTCGCGGCGGACACGCCGCGAAGGTCGCAGTGGCGTGGTCGAACTATTACGAGACCTGCTACATGAGGCGGTGCCGTAGCTGCGGCGAGGACGGACTCGCGTACAAGAGCCTCGAACTTGCGGGCGCTGCAGACGGTCGGGTCTGCGCGTGCTGCAAGGAGTACGGCCGCCCAGACAAGGGGCATGGCATCGTGCATCCCAGCGGCCCAGCGAGGACATCCCAGACGCCTGATCAGCTGGTGTCCAGGATTCCTGCGGGCAGCGGCCGCCTGCTTAAGTGCGGGCGGTGCGGCTACGCCACGCTGCGGTGCGGACAGGGATCCTGCCGGCATATCAAGCGGTTCTGCGTAGTGTGCAATTCGAAGCAATTGCCAAGCATCAAGACGTGCCCGTGCTGCGGCGCGTGACCGTCTGCAGCGCCAATCGGCCAGCAGGCGGGGGCCATGGCCAGCGAACGTCCCAACGCCATGCTGCCTTAGTGGCGCGGTTTGGGTTGCCGCGCGTGGATATTCAACGCATGGGCTGGGCACGTTATCGCAACGCTGCAGAACGCATCGCATTCGAGAATAAGAACGGTGCCGAGGCAGCAGCAACGCGTGTAGTATATGCGGTGCTAGATGTCGTGTGCTGCGTTGCTTTGCGTTGTGTGGCGTCGTATTGCATGGCATTGCGTTGGGTTTGCATTGCCGAGGACAGAGGAGGAGACAGGGAGAGGATGAAACTGGGTAGTGCGAAGAGAAGGGGGAGGGGAATATTTGAGCAGGAGGGGGGGAGACTCTCCCCCCTCCTCTCAGAGGAGGGGCGGTGGAGGAGGAGGAGGAGGAGGAAGCGGGAGGAGGCGGGAGGATGAGGTGGGAGGAGGAGGGACTGCAACGCCGGCGGCGTGCAGCTGCGAGGACCGCGGCCCGACCCAGTAGCAACGCAGCGGGCGCTGTCACCCGAGGAGGTGTGGGAGGACACCGAGGACGGAGGAGGAGGCAGGAAGATAATGATATAGAGTAGTAGACATGGGAGGGATGTGGGGGAGGAGGAGGAGGAGGAGGAGGAGGAGGAGGAGGAGGAGGAGGAGGAGGAAAAGGAAAAGGAGGAGGAGGAGGAGGAGGAGGAGGAGGAGGAGGGGAAGGATGGGGAGCAGGAGGAGGAGGAGGAAGAGGAGGAGGATGCGGGAGGAGGCGGCGGAGGAGGAAGCACTGCAACGCTCTCGTCGAGCAGCGGCGAGGACGGCCGAAAGGTTGATCTCGCTGCGGTCGGTGCAGGAGGAGGGCCCCGATGCAAGCAGTTGTGGCACCTGGGATTGGTTTGTAATAGTGAAGATGATGACGGTTATGATGACGGTCATGACGGTGATGGGGATGATGGTCATGGTATGAATGATGATGATGGTAATGACGATGAGTATCATGCTGATAGCGATGATGATGGTGGTATTCATGATAAGGATGATGCTGATGATGGCGATGATGATGAAGATGAGGATGGCGATGATGATGATAATGGTGGTGGTGATAATGATGAGTGTATATTGGCGCCTTATCTTACGGCCGGTGCTGCCGACCCCGCCGACGACGATGAAGACGAGGAGGGGGAGGAGGAGGAGGAGCCCTGTGTTGCTACTGGGTCGGAGGACTGTTCCCGACAGTAACTTCTCATGGTCATCATGATCCTCCTCCGCCCCCGCCCCTTTCGGGCCCAGTAGCAACACAATGGTGGTCATATCGCACGTTCATTTCGAGGTCATGATGATGATGGGGATGATGTTAATGAAGACCAGGACGAGAATGATGATAATGATGACGATGATGATAATGATGGTGACGATGATGATGGTAATGATGATGATGATGACGATGATGATAATGATGATGACGATGATGATGGTAATGATGATGATGCTGACGATGATGATGATGATGATGATGATGAGGGTGACTATGGTGAAATGATGGCCATGGTAATGAAACTGATGATGCTGATGAAGTTGATGATGACGATGGTGATGGCGGTGATGATGATAATTGTAACTTGATGGCCTAATTTACCGCCGGTGCCGGATGGTCATGATTTGATGAACACGTGGGTGATAATGATGATGACGATGATGAAAATGATGATGACGACGGTGATGGTAATGATGATGACGGTGATGATGATGAGGATGACGACCCTGGTGGTAATAGTGGCCATGGTAATGATGATGATGAACTTGATGATGATGATGGTGGTGGCGGTGATGATGACAAGTGTAATGTGGCTGCGTTGCCATTGCGTTCGCTCGTGTCGCTGCGCCCCCCTGTGTTGCTACTGGGTCGGAGGACTGTTCCCGACAGCAACTTCTCTTGGTCATCATGATATTCCTCCTCCGCCCCCGCCTCTTTCGGACCCAGTAGCAACACAGTGGTGGCCATATCGCACTTTCAGTTCGAGGTCATAATGATGATGGGTATGCTTTGAATGAAGACGAGGATGATGATGATGACGATGATGATGACGATGATGATGGTAATGATGATGATGATGAGGAGGAGGAGGAGGAGGACGACTATGGTGGTAATGATGGTCATGGTACTGATGATGATGATGATGAATTTGATGATGATGATGGTGATGGCGGTGACAATGATGAGTGTCACGTAATGGCCTAACTTGCGGCCGGTGCCAGATGGGGATGATTTTGATGAAGACGTGGATGATAATGATGATGATGACGATGATGACAATGATGATGACGATGATGATGGTAATGGTGATGATGACGATGACGATGAGGATGACGACTATGGTGGTAATGATGGCCATGGTAATGATGATGATGAATTGTGATGACGATGATGACGATGGTGACGGCGGTGATGATGATAAGTGTAATGTGGCTGCGTTGCAATTGCGTTCGCTCGTGTCGCTGCGCCCCCCTGTGTTGCTACTGGGCCGGAGGACTGTTCCCGACAGCAACTTCTCATGGTCATCATGATCCTCCTCCGCCCCCGCCTCTTTTCAGACCCAGTAGCAACACAGTGGTGGCCATATCACACTTTCAATTCGAGGTCATAATGATGATGATGATGATGATGATGATGGGGATGCTTTTGATGAAGACGAGGATGATGATGATGACGGTGATGATGGTAATGATGATGATGACGATGATGCTGAGGATGGCGACTATGGTGTCAGTGATGGACATGGTAATGATGATGATGATGGTGAATTTGTTGATGATGATGGTGGTGGCTGTGATGATGATAAGTGTAATGTGATGGCCTACTGGCCTTGTGGGTGCTCACTCGACCCCCCGTCTTTCAAGCTACAGGTGCAACCTAGGCGGCGCAATCTACATGGTGCAGGGTATGTGGTGCAACGTACATGGTGCAGAGTATGTGGTGCAAGCGGTGCCGTGTATGAGTCGCAACCTATGTGTTGCAAGCTATGTGGCGCAACTTATGCCAATCAATGACACGAAATTCAAGATATGCGATCGCTTGCGTGCTTTTGTTCAAAGACGTGTGGCTCAAGCTCTTTGGCTGTATCGTTGGATCGCTGGTGGTTGCCCGACGAGGCTCGCGCCCGCTCGACCCGCGATGCCGTTGTTCATCGACGAGGCCATGGACGCCTTGAAGAACAAGGACATGACCTACTCGGAGTTGGACGCGGCCGCCGTGTCCAGCAAGGCGGCGGGGGACATTGACGGGCCCATCGACGTCGGCACTTTTGCCCGCGGTGCTCTGCGGAAGCTGGGCGAGGTGAGGGTGACCAGGTCTCCCTTCGACGTCGTGGTTCCGATGCCAGAGAATCTGGACCAGGTCATGGAGCAGATCGCGGGGCAGACGTACACCGACGTGCCGCCTGCTCTTCGCCCAGGCGCTGAGCTCCCCGAAGGCACCACATACTCCGTTGTCGCTGGTGGCAACGGCAACGGCGCCGCCGTCGCCGTCAAGATCTACGCGTTCCAGAACCAGGTGCCCTTGAAGACCGCACAGGAGCTCGTGATCGGGACTGGGTATGCTCCAATAGCGAGAAAAGGCCCATGGCTCCACAAGAAAACCCTGCAGTGGTTGCTTGATCGCATCCCTGGCCACCGCGTCGATTGGGCAAGCGTGGAGGAGAAGCAACGGGCGAAACTGACAGACGGCGAACAGAAGAGATGGGAGGCCACGGACGAGGAGCTCGAAGAGGGCATTGACTTCATCAACAAGCACGCGCCCGCCGTGAACGACATGAACCAACAGTGGCTCTTCATTGAGAAGAACATCAAGCCGAGCAGCGGGTCCAAGATTGCGGGGTGGCCGTGGGCTAAAGTTGCTAACGCAGTGCACAACCGAGCGAAGGCAGCAACGGGGTGCGCCAAGGTTGAGCGTTCGTTCCCCCTGTGCGTGTTCGACTTGCACGCGCTGTGGCCAGAAGTGTTGCCTCCGTGCATTTTCACGCTCCTATCGCAGCTTGGACTCCTCTTCTTTGGCTTGCCTGGCATCGGCAAGACGCCCACTTTCATCGTGCTCGCCATGGCCATGGGCCGCTACACTGCGGCGCGCTCGGGCGGTAATCTACTCCCTGGATGGCGCCGCAGCAAGTCGATGGACGGTTTCAAGTCCAGCCAGGGGACAGCGTCCGAGGGCACTCTCCTCGACGACCCTGGCATGTGGCATCTCTCGATCGATGACCTGAAGTCCTTCTTCGACGCCGCAGAGGACACCTTCGCCAGGGCCAGGTACAACGACGCCAAGTTCGTGAAGAACTCAGTGCGGTGCTTGGCGGAGAATGAGTTCGATGAGAAGGACGAACCGCCCGCGGATGACCGAACCATTATCACCGCGGCCGAGGCTGAGAAGCTGTTCATGAAGCCGTTCTCGGGGTGGAAGCAGGCGCATGTCCTCGCGGTGCTCAAGCGCACCGTCGCGTGCGTCGCTGGTCGCCACTCCATGTGCCTTCGCTTTCCCAGCAGCGACCCCGACGCGGTGGTCCACCGCGGTGTATTGTTCAGGAGGGCCGCGCGTGCCCGCTTGCGTATCTCTTGGTCTGCTTTGCTCTGCTGGCTGGCTCCGCGGCCCTGCCTTGCTTGCTGGGCCTCGTGGTTGTCTTGTTCGTTCGGCCTGCGTCTGCTCGTCCGCGTTTCCCCCCTGGCCTGCTTTCTTGTCGTGCCTCACTGTGTAGGGTTTGCTTTTTGGTCTTTGCCTTGCGTGCGTCCACCCCCCCGGCCCGCCGTCGTTGCTTGGCTCCGTTCTGCTGGCTTGCCTCGTGGCTGTCGCGTTCGTTCGTTCGATTCGCGTCTTCGCGTCCGCGTGCCCCTGGCCGGGCTCTGGCCGCGTCGTGCTGTGTTTGTTTGCTTTTTGGTACCTGCCCCGCGCGCTGGCCCTCCTCCTCTGCCTGCTGCCGACCTGCTTCCCCCTACCCTCGCGCGCGCGCGCCAGCTTCCGTCGCGCTGCCCCCCCTCGTTCGCGCAGGTTCCGATTCCCCCCCTCTCCGCCCGCACGCTGCTCCGTCTTTTCAGGTGACTTAGCGCCCGCGGGGTGATGGTATGCCGAGAGGTCGGAAGTGCCGAGGAGGGCGGTTCGGTCCCCGGGGCTTCGCTCGCCGTCCGTCGTCGGTTTTGCGCTGCTCGACGTCAGGAACGATGGCTCTCCTCGCGGAGCTTTGCTCTCTGTGGGAGGTGCGGTGGCTGGATGCTGGGGCTCGCCTCGCGACTGGCCGCGTTCGCCGCCCGGGTCGTGGAGACCGCGTAAGATGCTGCGATCGCCGCGCTGCGCGATCGCCGCGTCCGATGCGATCGCCGCGCTGCGCGAGAATGGGTCCACGGCGCCGACGTTGCTAGGTAACTTGTCGGTGAACGATTTGACGTAAACTGGGGGGTTGCCCGCCCTCGCGAAGGGGCCCCTCGCGCAATCGCTGGTGCGGTTCCATCGTGGCGGCCCATCAGGTCTTCGCGTCCATGCGGGCGTTGGCGGGGGGCTTGTGGCGACGCGCTTAGCGGACTTCGACCGCGAGCTGTGGCCGAGGTGCGCGTCATCTCTGTGTGGGGAGCGCCCCTGGCAGCGGGCCCCAGGTGCCCCAGTCGGACTCCCGTTCCCGAGTGTGCTGGCCGCGTTAACTGGGAGGCTCTCCTGGTAGGTCGCTTGGCTCTCGCTTGAATGATGATCTTGCAGGTGGCGCATGTCGGGGGGCTCTCCTGGGCGGGTGGCTGGGCTCTGGCTTCCTTATGCGCTTCACAATTTGATCTGGGAGGCTCTCCTGGTGGGCTGTCCACCTCTGGTTCGCGGGATCTGTCGGCCCCTGGCCCCAGGTTGTTCCCCAGGGTGTCGGGGGCGCGATTTGGCTCGGCTTCGTAATCCAGAAAGCTTTCCTGGTGTGTTGCTGGGCTTCGGTTTTCCCTGTTGGGCCCGCTTCCAGCGCGATCAAGGAGGTTCTCTTAGTGGGTCTTTCGGCTCCGGCTTCCCAGGTGTTTCACGTGTCCGGGAGGTTCTCCCAGCGCCGCTTGGTGGTCCGGGAGGCTCTGCTGCGTTGCGCATCCAGGAGGCCGTCCTGGCGCGACTTGGCGGTCCGTGTGCTCTCCAGGTGCGTGTTGTTCACAGGCTCGTCCGGGCGGATCGCCCTTGGAGCGCGTTTTCGGGGGCCCCCCCCCCCCCCGGAGGACCTAGTGGCCTGGGTCCCCGGCAGGCTTCTTTCGATGTGATCCGGGGGCGTGTCCTGGACGCGCCGCCGGGCCGCCGCCGCCGCGCGCGATTCGTTTCCCACCCCCCGGTTCCAGGAAAGAGTCAGAAAGTGGATCGGCTGCGCAACGAGTCAAATCGGCAACGCAAAAGAGGCCACCACGTGCCGTTCGGGGCCCCCTATGGCGTCGCGCGCCAGAGGTCGCCGCGCCGTTCCCTTTCATGGAGTTGCAGCAGGGCCGACCGACCAGCGATCCTTACTGGGGTGGATTCAGTGGCCCATGGGCCACGATGCGTGCGTGCTCGCCCTGGAGGTCACGAAGAATTTGCCGTTGACCGCTGCCGTGGCTCATGAGAAACGCCCCAACGTGCCAGTGGGCACGGTGGCAGATATAGATACTTGTCGGGGGGGAGGCGGTAGGTTCCGTCTTGTCTTTGGTAGATGAAGCTGGGCATGCAATTTACACATGTGAGGTGTGAATTCTGGGTCGGTCTTTTTCAAGTTTGAAGCCAGCCCAGCATTAACATGAGTGTCTGTCGTTTCAGTCCGCTGCTGACTTTTGCCACCACGCTTGAACGTACGCCACAGTATTTGACATTGGCATTGGGTGTTGGCATTCAGTCTCTCCATGCTCGCGCATCACAGCCTATCCTGCACGCTGTATTTCTGTATGTTTGGTGAAGCGCTGGTTAGTGTCGCCCGAGCGGTTGCCTGGGGCGGCGGTGCGGCGTCTAGACCCAGTGCAAGAAAGCTTGTTGAGGCGCCAGCAAATGTAGCCATTGCCGAGAACAGTGGCCTTAATCATTGGTTGATCGTACACCTGCTTGCGCAAGGGGGCGCCGCGCACCCCCCCCTGGCGCGAGCTGCTTTTGCTCGGTCCTGGGCCGAGTTCTCCTCATCTCCAGTGTCGCGCGCTCCTCCTCCTCCTCCTCCTCCTCCTCCTCCTCCTCCTCCTCCTCCTCCTCCTCCTCCTCCTCCCCCTCCTCCTCCTCCTCCTCTCCTCCGCCTCCTCCTCCTCCTCCTCCTCCTCCTCCTCCTCCCATCCTCCTCCTCCCCCCCCTCTTCCTCCTCCTCCTTCTCCTCCTCTCGCTTCCTTCCGCCCTCGCGGCCCTAGGGGGGGCCCCGTGACGGGGTCGAGCTGGAGGGGCAGCAGCGGCGGCCACAGGCAGAAGCTGATCTTCGAGGGCTTAGGGTGCCTGATCATGACGCTGCTGAAGATCTGTCTAGAACGCAAGTCGTTGCCCCTCCACGCTGGGGCAGGGCTAGGTCGCCTCGCGTTCTGCTGCGAGAGAGTCGGCCTGTATCATCTCAATGCAGAGAGCCAGGCGAGCCCAGTACGCAAGCCTCTGCCCCTCCACGTTGGGGCAGGGCTCAGTCGCCAAATGTTTCGCGGATGACATCCCAGCCTGTAGCGCCTCAAGACAGTCAGCCACGACGTCTGCGACACGATGTTGGCGACAGCGTCGAGGAGGTTGTCGAGTTGCCCGTGGGCCCCCCGAGTGCCGCGAGCCCTTGCATGAGGGTTGCCGACGGAGCGAAGGGCGGGAAACGTGCCGCCACTGGCGGGGTAGCGCGGGCGGGACTCGACATCCTCGAGGGGCGGCGTGTTGTGCAGGGCAGGGAAAAAAGGAGTAGCTTTGTGAGCACCTCAGGGCCCTGCCCCCAAGCCAGGGGCATCCACGCGACCGCTCCATGTGGAGGAGCTGCAGACATCGACAGTGACAAAGGCTCGGCGCTTGACCATGGCGACGACACCCACAGTGGCGCAGAACAAGTGATCAAGGGAGCTGTCGGTCCAGGGGTGCATGGAGTACCTTGTCCAGATGAAGATGCAGGCGCAGAAGGACGCGATGGCGAGAGGAGCTCAGCGGGCGTTTCGTTGCACGCGTGCCCATCATCGAGGCGAAGGGCGCGATGGACTTACTTGGCCAGATTGCTGCGACTAGGACACAGGCAGGACGCCCATACTTCCACGGGAAAGATGTACTTTGAAGGTGCCTGGGGCATGATACACTTCGCCTGAAAGCAGCAGCCGATGCACCGCATCTTGCGCCCACAAGCCTTTGGTGGCGCTCTCCAGGCGTGCGCCGGCGCTGTGGACAGGTAAGCTGGATTTCATCGATTCAGCAAGTTCAAGGCTGTGTGCAATATGCAATGGTCACGGGCCCAGCGCAGGCGCGTTCGATCACCGGGGTCCAGCCGCGGGCTCACGCGCAGATCAAAGCGGGACAAGCCGCCACATCGCTTCCGCAGGCTATTGCAGATATCCAGATGGACAGCTGGCGCAATATCTGCGAGGGGGGCGGAAGGCCCCATAGCAAGGCCACGACCCGCAGAACGTGAGGGACGCAGGGATGGCAGGCCATCGGCCAAGTTTCTCCAGCGCGCTACAGTCCTACGCTGGATCAAGTACGACAGACTGCCTACAAACATCAAGTGGAGCACTGGCTGGGGCGGAGGCTCTACCACCTTCGAGCAATTCTCTCTCACCTTCGGAGAAGCTTCGGCGATGCGATCTACATCTACTGGGTGGCAGGAGCATCGGTGAGATGGCCGACTGCCATACTCAATGTACACCATGTTGCCAGCCAAACCACCAGGAGGGTTTCGACCAATAGCCCTTTTGCCAGCGACGTGCAGATTGTACACTAGGGTACGGGTCGATCAAGTTAGGCAGTGGATATCGCGCAATACCCGACCATATTTTGCACTTGGCGCCAGCAAGTGCATTCTGATTGCGGGCGCCCGTGCCGCGATACATGCGGGATCTTTTGCCCAGGACAAGGTAGAGGCCTCTGCGACTACATTGGTGGGCAGAAGCAAATGCTTTGACCGAGTCTGTTGGCGAAGAGTACTCCAAGCGGCATGACATTTCGGTTGCCCGACCCAGGTCTTACAACTCTGACTGGCGATGTATCGTGCCCCCAGGCGCATCAAGTGGACGACGGCATTTTCGCACTCACGCCAAGTCGGCCGAGGGGTGCTACCAGGGCGTTCGATAGCAATGTTTTCACTACAGCTGGTTATGATCCTGCCTTTGAATATTTGGGAGTTTTTCGCGAACACCGAAGAGGTTCAGCACCCTGTAGACATCTACGCCGGTGGAATCACGGTGCAAGTGGTGGCAGACCAGCGGGACATTGTATACCACGCGGTACGTGTACTACAACGGTTGGCGGCAATCCTCAAAGCCTTGGGCTTACCTGTTGCGCGAGACAAGGCAGAGGCATTTGCCTCGGATTATCGCATGGCACAGCAGGTCGCACAACATGTGCGCCGACACAGCTTCAGACAATACACAGCACCGGAGGTGCTGGACACGGAAGCCATTGGCGGGCGCGCGTTGGGCTTCTTTGCCAGTCGGAAGAGGGTGGTCAACATGAAGATGCGACTGCCAAGATTCAAGAGGCTCTGCTGTTTGGCCAAGATCGGGAGGGCGGTGGCGCAACCACGCGCTGCCCCCGCCATGCAGAGCGGCGCGCAGATCGTTGGAGCCACCGAGGCGCTCCTCAGAGCGATGGCCAACATGGTGCGCATAGGATGGAGACGAACCCCACCTTGTACTTCTACTTGGCTCGCGGCGCAGCTCGAACCGCGCTTCCACGAGCGCCCGGAACTGATGGCCATTTCAGGACAACTTTTCACATGGGCGCGGCTCATGCAGGACACCTATGGGCCCAGCGGCATTCTCGACAAGGCTTTCTTCCAGCAGCGTCAGCAGCTCGGGCCGAACCCCAAGCGCGCCGACGTTGCTGGCCCAGTTGGCGCAGTGCCGGTGGCTCTCCAGTCGCCCAATTGGCGCCCTGCGACGGCGGCGACATGGCGCGCGCGCGCGCGCGGGGGTGAAGGTGGATCTCATTATTGACAGTCCAGAGTGGGCCAGAACCTTGGCCCGACGCGACTCAGAAAGATCGCGGCGCCAGAAGGTGAAAAAGTTGCGCGCAGACGCTGCGGTTACTGGATGGCGCCGTTGAAACTGCTACTGGCTCCAAGGGAGCTCGCCAATGCGCGGGGCCTGTCGGAGCAGGCGCGCTCTGCGCTACGCGTTGCCATCGCCGGAGGACAGCGGTCGCAG